CTGCATGTTCCCCAGATGTGCCAGACTCTGGTACAGAGTACCCTGACATGGGCATATTTGCACACAGTTCTGGGATATTTACCATCGTTTTGGTAACAGAAGCAACTTTATGATGAATTTTCTTCATTGACTTATCTACCCACCTGGACTTTTGGTATTCATAATACACTGTGGCAATGAGTTCCACAGCTTAATTGGTGTGGGGGAAATAAGTACTTCTTTTTTGCTTGTTTTAATCCTGCCATCTGGTAATCTTGCACGGTAATTGACAGATTTCTGCTCCCAAGTTCTTCTATGCATTGAATGAGCATTCCCAATCCCATTCTCTGTGATAGAAGTGATTTTATAGAGCTCTGTGACATTCCCTCCTCATTGTCTCTCTTTCCAGGCTGAAGAGTTCTTTGAAGTCGTGGGAAATATTTGAAGGCAGTTTTGAAATACTTTGGTGAAGGACTCTCTTCCCCTTGGAAATGCTGAGCATTTGAAGGTCTCCTCACTGGACTGGTTCAGCTCTGGCAGAGTTGAGGAAAGGTTCTTTGTAAGTGGTTGTGGAAGACCGGAAACTGTTCTGGACTCTGCAGGAAACCTCCTGGATAGGACTTGTAATGCAAAATGTTCTTACTTAGACCCCTTAATAGCCTCATTCTGGCTGCACCACGTACAGGGGTCTGGAGCACCATGCTGGAAGGGGTTCAGCCTGACAGCTAAACAGCCTGGACTGTTGAGACACCTTCTGTTAGTGATCCTGCATCCTACTGCATCTTAAATTTGTCCTGAACAGACTGCTGACACGTGGCCAACGTTCATCTGCTGTGGTCACTAGGGCAGAGCAGAGCCACCATGTCCCACATGGGATGATATTATGTGATAGTGGGCCAGGAAGGGGCTCCCTGACTTAGGTTCCTGCTCCAGGTACCTTGTTAGCAGCCTTTCTGGAGAGTGAAGGGAACATACCTCTCTGTGGAGTGGGCAGGTTGAAACTAGGTGGTAATATTTGATTATTTGCTGCAGCACATGGATATAAAAAGGTTGGGATTAAGAGGCAGTATATTTCAAAAGAAATTAGCTAGCAAGACATGCACATTTAACGTTTATGGTTTAGAGATTAAGGCATCAGGCTGGAATTTGGGATATCTAGGTTAAATCCCAGCTCTATCGAAGACTCCTCAGAACATGCAGGGCAGGTCGTGTAAGGCAATGCTTTCAGAAAGGACTCAGGATTTGGGAGCTTAAATCCAATTGACTTCCAGTAACATCCTAAGTGTGTAAGGACAGGATTCCCAAAAAAATACTGCGGCATTCTGATGCTTAGCATTGCTGGGTGCTGTGTGCCACAGACCTTGGGCAGAGCGGTGAGTGCTCTGGAAAGGCACTTCAGCATGTGAGGAGATGTGTAGGTGACAGCTGGGGACTCCTGGAAAGCGTGAGGTTGTGCAGGGCCTGCAGTGGCTGTGCACCTCGTACAATGGCACCCTGGGCTTAATGATGGTCTCTAAGTACAAACTCAGCACAAATACATCCTAATAAGCGTCTAAGTAGATAGATCCTGTAAGAGCTTTTATATCAGGTCCCTGAGGTGTGAATACTAATACCAACAATCATGAAAAGATTTTGCATATTTAAAATTAAATGAGCTTCATTCTTTAGAATTTAACAGTGAGGACTGTGTTTCCAGGCAGTGAAATACAGTGGCACGTTCATTTGCTGGTTGAGCACATGCCCGACGGGGAGCTGGCTGTGCAGAAGGCCAGTAAAGGAAACCAGACACTGCTCACCTGTACAGCTGTAAACCTGCAGCTGGCTGTCCTGCTCCTTTGACTGAGCAGGTCTGAAGTTCATTTTGTCTCTTTTAAACCTTTATTAAACTTGTCTGGAAACTATGCTTGTTTCATCTCCTGCCAGGATTACAGATGGTAACAGGCAGTTTGATAAGGCCCTTTGAGACCAGCTGTGGCCTGAAAGAAGCTCTAGAGTTCCTGAAATACCCTGTCAGATGGGCTCTGAGACTGTCCCAGACCTTTGTTTGCTAATTTTCCATCCTGGAAATGGTGGTTAGAGTTTTTGCTAAGGGTGCTTATTAGCTGGGTGCTTGTAAGCAGTAAGAGCCTGCAGCCTGCTCCAAGAACTCCCTGCCTGCATGAACTGGGAGCAGCTGCCTTCCCCTGGGAAGGACCCTGCTCTCTGGCAGACAGTGTGAGATCCTGGCTCACTTTTTATCTGCCTCCATGTCATGCAGCCTCTCACTAGCTTTTGCCTGTCTGGGACACGCAGCCTGCATCAGAGGCACTAGCTGCCTACAGCAAGCTGCGAAAGGACAATTTCATAATGAATGAGGATGATTTGCTAAGCGGGGGGTCCTGGAGCACAGCCGTAATTGTGCTGCTGTTTTATCTCAGCCTCACACCTGCTCACGTAATGGCCTGGCTGGGATCCGCTCCCTCCCCCGTGTGCACGCTCCACCCTTCTGCTCCTGGAGGAGCCATCAATTCTCTGGCCCTGTTGCAGTCCTTCCCCTTGCTGCCCGCACCTGCAGCCCTGTGGGTGCGCATAGATTCTCCCGCGAATTGCAGCAGGGTCACTGGGCTGGCTCTAACAGACATGACTGTTAACCTGGCTTTCATGTCCCAGATAACAAGTTTTAAATGAAATCCTTCTGCCCAAAAGAACTCTTAGACACAGCTTTCTACATTTGATGTTTCCTTAGAAAACTTAGTCGCACAAGAATATCGTGTATATTATTCCTGCCAGAGGGAGTATCTGCAGCTTTTTTTTTTCCCTGCATGCAGCCAATACTGGTGAATATGGTTGAATTGACAGTGTAGGCAATTAAAAGCTTTTGAAATCCAGAGCAGATGGAATTTTATCCAATTCATATATGGTCTTACTATAAAGGTACCTTGCTGGATTCAGGCCAGTGAACTCCCAATGCTGTGCTTTAACCTTTGGAGGATGTTACCACCCTTATGACAGTTAGACTTGTAATATTGGCTGCTACTCTGTAAAGGGTACATCCCTTTAATGAGAGGATGTGGGGTAGTGAAAGAGGTGAAGAAAGCTCCAGCTTGACCTCATGTGTAAGTTCTCTATTTGCATTTTATCCTTCCTTATGGGATCTCATAGCCCAACATGTTCCTGGCCTCCTTAAGTCTCTTCCCCTTAACAGGTCCTCTTTTCCGCTGACTGGCAAACTTCACATAAAGGTAAAAGTCCTTGTGTCTTGAACACATGCACACACACACGCATGTCCCCTGAGCCATCTCTCATCCTGTAGGTGCTTCTTTCTTTATATTAATCTAAAATAAGAGTCTCAATATCCAGAAGTGAGAGAGAAAAGAAAGGGCAGGGGGAAAGAGAGAAAAACCTTTTTTCTCTTGAGACAGGAATGTCAATAGGTTTGAATTATGGACCTGCTGTAATTAAAAAACACATAACTAGTTGTTTTTAAATGCAGTTGTTTTACTTAATTGATTTTGCCGCCAGGACCAAAGGAAGATAAATAAATAAATAAAAATGCACTTCCCTAGTGAATTACTGGAGGCAGCTTAGTCTCTGTTGGAATCTATTTGCTGCAAATGCTCCAGTTTGTTGCTAGCATGTTTTCTGTGGAAGGGGCTGGGAGAGGG